GATAGATACTGATATATAGACAGAGAGACAGACAAGGTAGGTTGATTGGTAGGCAGGCAGACAGACAGATAAATAGACAGACAAATATGTTAGGTAGGTAAGATAGATAGACAGGTAGACAGACACAGAGGTAGGTAGACAGGCAGACAGCTGTGGTAGGTAGGTAGGCAGACAGACAAATAGACAGTCCAACACTTACATATCAGCATCTGCTTTCAGTGTGTATCAGTGGAAGGAACCAAAATACCTCAATGCTAACACACAGAAGTCCAAATACCAATGATGTGTCAGTGTGTACTGGCCAACCTTCCACATAGTTGCTTACATTTTATTCAGGCATACTCATATTCCTTAAAATCTATCCTCTTCCAAATTACAGGGAGTCCTTGATTCACAATCACAATTGAACCCAAGGTTTCTGTTGCTAAGTGAAACATTTCAGTGGATTATGCTCCGCTTTAGAACCTTCCTTGCCTCAGATGTTTGCACAGAAGCGAATCACTGCAGTTAAGTTAGTATCACGGTTGTTAAGTGAATCTGGCTTCCCCATTGTTTTTGCTTATCAGAAAGTCACAAAAAAAAGGTGAACACATGACTCCAGAACACTCATAAATAAATGTGTCCAATTTTGATTATGTGTTAACCTAAGGAGTGATAACAGATAGTAGAGATAAGATAGGACTAGAAAACTGGTAAAGCAAATGAAACGGAGTGGCTGGGCCTGTTTGTCAGAGGAATTCCTGCTGGAAATATTTGGCTTCAAGTCTTTGTTTATCTGAATTCAGCTTCTAGCTGCGCATGGGGCTCATTAAAATAACTTTGCGGGAAAGTTTAAAGGTTAAGCATTTTGTCAGAGATTCCAGGGGAAATAATGTCAAACTCTGTGCCTCTCTCATTCTCAAATTTGTCCATAAAACAATCACGTCAGGCCATATTTATTTGTTCCTGCCACAAAGTTTAAAATCCTTTGTCATTCTCCCACATATTTCTCCATACAAGACTGCAGAAGTAGGAAGGATAAATTCTTTTTGTTTTCTTCGTCGGAAGGCATAAATCCAGAATTACTCTTTCACCTTAGAAAAGCAGGAGGGGTGGGGGGAGAGAGATTTTAAACCTTATGGCAGTGGTTCCCTATGGAAATATTTATAATACTTTAAATATTTTTATCATTTCTTTCCTAGCAAAAGATGTTACTCATATCTGCCCGTTTACCGGAGGTATTCGAGGAACTTTGACAGTTACAAATTATAGACTGTATTTTAAAAGCATGGAAAGGGTAAGGCTTAATAAATTGCCTTTTTTAAAAACTTTTTCTTGTTTTTGATAGATACTCAGCTCTTATTTGAAGGGAGGCCACAGCTCAGTACATGCCATGATGGAATCTTTTGCCTTTCGAAGTGGAGTTGAAAAAATCTCACATTCTTATTTGTTAAGCGATTACACCACATAGCCTTCAACATGAAATAATCAGAACTGAAAATTTTTTATTGTTCAACAAATACTTAGATGCAGAATTTCTTTTTATCTAACATTATAGTGAACTTTGCATGAACAAATCAAGCAATTTTATGCTTGTATTATCGACATCCTACATTTTAATTAATGTTGGTAGAATATTCCTTTCTCTTTATTTCCAGTACTCTTAACTCACTGTTTCTCAACCATGGTGATTTAAAAGTCGATGAACTTCAAATCCCAGAATTCCCCAGCCAGCTATTCTGGTTGGAAAATTCTGGGAGTTGAAGTCCACCCATCTTCAAGGTTGAGAAATACTGCACTTAGTCATTGTTTCTTAATTTTTTTAAAAATCTCAGAATCTCTTTCTATTTTTAAAAATTACCAAGGAGATTCTCAATCATCTTGGTTATGGTTGCCCCAAAGGTGCTTTTTTCCAAAAGGCAATTGGACTTTATTTATTTTTTTAAACGTGTCACTTCTCATCCAAGAAGCTTTTTCAGAACTGAAGAAGGAAAAAACCAAGAAAGTCCAGTTGCCTTTTGAAAAAATCACCATTGGGACAATCTTTGCCCCTACCATTTCTCCTGGTTGTTTGATGAGATTTTAATATTGGGTTATTTTTCAATGTTAGGTTGGCAAATAATTTTGATTTTGAGGACTGCAGAGAGAGCCTTGGGGATTGCTCGGGATCCTAGGACCATACTTTTAAGAAACGCTACCCTAAGTTAACTAAATAATAGAATGTCAATTGTTTTTAATTGATATTGTATAAATATTATTCTGTTGAAACAATACATTGTATCAGCATTTACAACTATATAATGAAAAACGGGGAGAGAAAAACTCACCTGTGAAAACATTGGAGAGACATTGCCAGCAGCGTAGATAAATGTAGGCTAAATGAACCAGGGCTTGTACTGGATATTCATCAACTTCAAATATTCATTAGGAGTGTAAAGCATTTTAGATTCAGTCTCCAAAGAGCAAGTTTGTTATTTCTTGCACAGTGATGGCAAAATTTATGACTGCCATAAGAAGGAACAAAACAAAGCTGTAATATTCATGTTTCTATACCATGCATGGAACAAAAAGCCACTTTGAAAATTACATTTTCTCATAGCTTGTATTTTTATAGACAGTTATCGTGTGTTGAAATGGACACAGCGCTGGTGAAACTTTTTAGCACTGAGTGCTGAAATGGGAGCACGTGTGCACGGGGGAGCATCGAAAACTGGAAGAGCAGTTCTTTGCACATGCGGGAGTGCCGGAAATTGGAAGAGCTGAGCTTCTGATTTGCAGTGTGCGCGTGCGTGCCGGAACGTGCTCTTCTACTTTCTAGCTCCCTCACGCATGTGAAGACTACCTGACTGGCACACATGCGCGCACCAGAACCCAGAAGAGCAACGGGAGACGGCTGACGTGCCCGGAGAGATGACTCTGCATGCCACTTTCAGCATGCGTGCCATAGGTTCACCATCACAGGACTATAACAAGGGAAATATATTTTGTGCTGAATAGCCATTTAGTCTTGGATTAAGCATGGGGAGGTCCAAGTTTATCCACTCTTAGTTGCGGAAATTTCATGAGTGATTTTGGCCAGTTTTTCTCTCTCAGACCACCATATTTCACAGGGAAACTTGTTTTGGTGGTAAAATGAAAGATTCAATATAATACGCTTTGACTCCTCTGAGGAATGGTGAAATATAAAGGTAATAAGGATCTATATAGTGTCTAATGCATTCATCTTAAAGGTATCCTCAGCTTTCTGAATGTGTTTGTAAGCTTATTGCATGGCTAAGTATCAAAAAATCAAATCCTTATCTCTGTTAGCTCTGTCCAACAATAATTCTTTGGTTTGGATGCTCTATTAATAAATTTCCATTTTCTGCAGAACCCTCCATTTGTTCTAGATGGCCCTCTTGGAGTGATTAACAGAGTGGAGAAAATAGGAGGAGCTTCTAGTCGTGGTGAAAATTCATACGGCCTAGAAATTATGTGCAAGGTAAACTAGTCTATCAAGAATGGGAAGATACTGAGTTCATGATCCATAGAATGTAATGGCTATGGCTTATAAGACTTCAGTAAAGCATGCTGACAGAAAATTCATATAATCATAAAATGTAAGTGTTGTAAATGACTCCAAAGATCATTTAATCCATTCCCCTGTTCAATTGAAGAATGGACTATTCTGATTTTATGTTTTAAAGTATAATAATTTTAGATGAGGTTCATTGACGTTAAACCTTTTTTTGAGTCTGGAGGCCATTGTCGCCTACATTCATGATTGAATGAAAAGTTAAATTTCAGTGAGAGGTTAGTGGGGAATAAAAGTCACATCTTCTTTCCCATCCAAGTTTGTGGCTTCTTTGAAAACTGTTCATGGACACCAGATGAAGAATCCCAGTTCAAAGTGATAGACTTGTGGTTTTGCCTCTTACAAAGTAATTTTCCTCCTCTCCATGGCATAACACAGAGGAATTTGGCACAGTGGTGGGATTCAGTTTTTTTTACTACCAGTTCTGTGGGCATGGCTTGGTGGGTGGTGTGCAAGGGAAGGATACTATAAAATTGTTGTGGTTCACTGGTAGCTGGTGCAGACGGCAGAGGTATCAGACAGTGAGGACAAAAGGGAACCTGGGAGTCTGGAGAGGACTCAGACGAGGGTCCTACATCTGATGCAGAGATGGGGCAGGACCATCTGAGAATGGGGTGCTGCCTTCAAGCCTTTGGAGTCTGGCAGCAGTGAAGCAGAGGACCCAGGGGAGCCTGTTCCCAGTGCGCGTGTGCGCAGAGCTGCTAGAAGGTGAGAGCAGCTGAAGCAGAAGGGGCGACTCCGGATAAGGCTAGAAGATGATTGCCCCTACCATAAGGGATAAAAGTCAGTCCTCAATGACGAAGAGCTTTGCAGGAAGCAAAGCAGTTCAGTAATCTCCGAATCATTTGTGAAGCTCTCTACTCTGGTCGGTTTTTTTCTGGGTTTTTGGTTCGGTTTATGTTAGCCTTAATTGGACTTCTGTTTCTTGGCAGCCTTCAACAGCACTGAAAAGCGTGCTCTTATCTGGAGAAACTCTGTCTAATTAGTTTTGGCTGAGAATGCAAGTAATTCCCAGCGTTGCATTAAAAAAGGTTTTACTTTTAAATTCAGTTTGTGTTTTATTAAGTTTGATGAAGCCTGGGTCAGAACAAAAATCTCCAGTCAGAGGTGGGATTTGCTGGTTCTCCAAACTACTCAAAATTTCCACTACCGGTTCTCCAGAACTGGTCAGAACCTGCTGAATACCACCTCTGATTTGGCAGCAATTGGTAAAGTCATTTCTCGGCAAATTGATCATTATGGTATGTTAATAGGCTTCTGGGTAAGGCCTCGTTTTTCCCCTTACATTCTGTAGGATGTCCGGAATCTTCGGTTCGCTCATAGACCTGAAGGTCGCACGAGAAGAGCCATATTTGAGAACTTGACAAAGTATGCATTTCCAATGTCCAATCACTTGGTGAGTATTTTTTTTGCTAATCTAACAACCATCTTCTTTTCCAAGGTATCCAGGCAGTCCTCAACTTGCAACCACAATTGAGCCCAAATTTCCATTGCTAAGCAATACAATTGTTAAATGAGGGCTCCTTGGTCCTCTCTGAACTTGCTTGTTCTCTTGCAGACGTTTCATTACCCTAGCTAGGTAACATCATCAGTGCAATTTTTAAGTGAGTTTTCCTCATTTTACCTTTCTTTCCACAGTTGTTAAGTGAATCCCTGGAGCTTTAAGTCAGTAACACAGTTGTTATGTGAATCTGGCTTCCCCATTGTTAGGAGTTGGTGATCACATGATCCCAGGACTCTACAACTGTCATAAATTCATGCCAGTAGCCAAGTGTCCAAATTTTAATCACGTGGTGGTGATAATATTACAACAGTCGTGTGAAAAAGTCATACGTCACTGTTTTCAGCGCCATTGTAACTTTGAACTGTCACTAAAGGAATGATTGTAAATTGAGGGCTACCTATACACTGTGGTTGTAGGAAGAAAATGCAAGAAAGTGAAGGGATGTTGATCTGAGTGGGGGTTATTAGCTTCTTGAACTCAAGTTAGTCTAAAAGCAAGGCTGTAATGCTTCCATGTTGCAAAAGAAGGCAACTCAGAGTTGAATCACAATGTTCAAATATTTTTATTTCCCCATAAATGCTAGGATTAGTCACTTTTCCCATAATTGATGGGGGGATATGTGTGTCAAACATTCCTTTATTTTAAAAACAGCCTGAAAGGGTAAAGAAACCTTTGGATTGTGTTCGACTACTTTTGACCTGAGGGAAAGATCCATGAGGTCTTCTCGGGCAATAATACTGAAGTTTTGCCACTGTGTTCCTCCAGGATGTTTTTTCAACTTCCCCTTGTATTCCACAGCTCTAAGTTTTCCTACTGAACTTCCATTAAAATACAGATTTGATCTTAAACTGCTTGGCTTTAAGATCAATCAAGGTTGGATATGCGCTACAACCATAATAACAATGTCTCAAACATGTTTTTTCAAAAGAAAACTGGACTGTTTTTTTCTTCCATTTTGAGGAAGAAGAAGATATTTTGCTTCTCACGTAAGAAACTTCATCAGTGATATAGCTTCAGTGAACCCCTTGAAAGTGCAAATCCAACATGAGTTCACGGGAGTTCAAAATGTCTCCACATATAGTAATAGCACTTAGACTTATATACCACTTTACAGTGCTTTACAGCCCTCTCTAAGCAGTCTTACAGAGTCAGCATATTCCCCCCAACAATCTGGGTCCTCATTTTACCCACCTTGGAAGGATGGAAGGCTGAGCCAACCTTGAGCCTGGTGAGATTCAAACTGCCAAATTGCAGGCAGCCAGCAGGCAGCAGAAGTAGCCTGCAGTACTGCACTTTAACCACTCCACCACCACAGCTCATATATGATTTTAAGGGTATTTCTCTATACTGAAAACTATTTTTAAAGAGTGAAATTGATATGCCTGTACCCAGACATATAAAAGTGATCCCAGCCAGAAACAGAGTGCATTTCGTCTCTATTGCCCAGGCACAGTCATTTGATACTATAACACACATGCATGAATATAGGATTTATGTATGACATTTGAAGCATCCAGGTGGTATTCAGCCGGTTCTGACCAATTCTAGAGAACTGGTAGGGGAAATTTTGAGTAGTTCAGAGAATCGGCAAATACCACCTCTGACTGGCCCCGCCCCATCTATTCTCTGCCTCCCGAGTCCCAGCTCATTGACTGGGTCTTCTTTTGTTGCCCTGGACAGGAGAACGGAGCTGGAAAGCAGGTTAGTGGGGTGGGCTGGGAAATGGGGATTTTACAGTATCCTTCCCCTGCCACGCCCACCAAGCCACACCATACCCACCAAGCCATGCCCACAGAACTTGTAGTAAAAAAAAATTGAATGCCACCATTGAACTGCAAGCATGTTGGGACCTGTGCTACTCTTCGATTTGTGAACTTTTTTTCCTAATCGAGAAGATCCTTTGCAGACTCCTTCTCTTGATGAAGCAAACCAGAAAGTGGGCAGTGAAGATTTATGTGCCATGGCATGCATCAAAGTTTAGGAGGGTTTGAGCCTTATTCATTGTTGCGCATTAATCTAAATGGGAATCGTTGATTGTTCCCTAGTTATAGATCCCCACAATTAGCATTAAGTTCCATGTCATTCTAAACAAACAAAACAGCATCTGAGACCATCGCTTATATAGATGGCAATCCTGTGCAAAACTAAGAAACTGAAATGCAGTTCTATGATGCTGCCTTGAAAAATGGTTCCTATTAACTTTCTTCTTAAGAACTATTTATTTTTTCCCTATCATTTTCTTGGCACTTTCATAGATCAGAAAATAAAGGAATGTGGAGAAATGTATATTGATTTACTTAATTTACACATTCTGGGGCTCTCTGCCTTTCTTTTATGCTTTTATTAAGGTACACAAACAAAAAAGGTTGCATAGGAATAGTTATTTGAAATGGAAAATGCATTGCTAAAGAATCTCTCCATTTTTTAAGCCTCTGTTCGCTTTTGAGTATAAAGAAGTTTTCCCAGAAAATGGCTGGAATGTTTATGATCCCATTCTGGAGTACAGGAGACAGGTGAGTCTCACTATCCCAGGTCTGACTTTCAAATGTTTTGCTCTCTAGCAAACTAGCTTATTGCAAATCTGCTGGCTGGAAGACCTTCTAATGCAGTGCTTGGGAATTCTGGGAGTTGAAGTTCACACATCTTAAAGCGGCAAAGGTTGAGAAACGTTCTAATGGGATAATCAAATAAAAACAATTCCCACGTAAGTGTGTCTGGGCTAGATTATTCTAAATCACAGCATATCACGTGATTATCCAGGAAAAGCTGCAGTAATGATGGTGCATCTGCAGAATGACCAGTGCTGCAGAGGACATAAAACATTTTTTGTGGATCAAAAAAATAAATACGAGGCCACCTTGTATATTTACAAAGCAATCTGCTGCCTTTATAGCAGAAGGTGATTTCCTCCCTCCATCTAGGTGGCTAATTAAAAATCTAGAAGTAAAACTGGTAGAAAGAGAAATCTCTGTGAAGTAGATAGTGAAATGGATTTGATTTGTCCAAGTTTTTGCAAATATCCAATTTCTAGATATTGGTATCGGGAGAGAGGATCTCCTCTCCTCCCCTCCCTTCCCCTCTCCTTTCTGCCTTTCTCTCTCCCCTCCCTTCTCCTCTCCTCTCTCCCTTCTCCTCTAATTTCTGCCCTCTCCTCTCCTCCCTTTTCCCCTCTCCCCTCCCTTGTCCCCCTCTTCTCCTCTCTCCTCTCATCTCTGCCTTCTCCTCTCATTTCTCCCCTCTCCTCTCCTCCCCTCCTCTCTCCTCTCCTCTTCCCTTTTCCCCTTCCTTCACCTCTCTCCTCTCCTCTCTGCCTTCTCTAATTTCTTCCTCCCCTCCCCTCCCTTCTCCTCTCCTCTCCCCTCCCTTCTCCCTTCTCCTTGCATCTCTCCTCTCCTCTCTGCCTTCTCTAATTTCTTCCTCTCCTCTCCTCCCCTCCATTCTCCTCCCTCCCCTCCCTTCTCCTTGCATCTCTCCTCTCCTCTCTGCCTTCTCCCCTCATTTCTCCCCTCCCCTTCCCTCTGAAAAATCTCCTGAACAGCTTCTCTTTCCTGCGTAGGGCATTCCTAATGAAAGTTGGAGGATGACTAGCATCAATGAGCAGTATGAGCTTTGTGATACCTATCCTGCCCTTCTGGTAGTTCCAGCCAATATTCCAGATGAGGAGTTGAAGAAAGTGGCTGCATTCCGGTCAAGGGGCCGTATCCCTGTAAGTATGGCACTCGCAGTCTGCAGATTGGTGTCTCCCAAAGGTGTTGGGCCGCATCCTTCACCAAGTAGATTTTTCACGGGGTGGGAAAGACCAGTAAGAATCATTTTACAATTTAGGGACATTATCCATCCCAGCAGCAGGAATTCTTCAGTGGTTTAATTCAGAACAATTAAATATTAGACCCACAATATCAGTTATCTTCTTGATCCACTCTTGCTTTTCCCTCCCATTCTTGTCTTCTACCAGGTCCTGTCATGGATTCACCCAGAAAGCCAAGCCACCATCACTCGCTGCAGCCAGCCAATGGTTGGAGTCAGTGGCAAGAGGAGCAAAGAAGATGAAAAGTATCTTCAGGCTATCATGGATTCCAATGCCCAGTCCCACAAAATACTCATCTTTGATGCCAGGCCAAGTGTGAACGCAGTAGCTAATAAGGTTGGACTGTCATACCTTTGGCAGCAAGTATTTCAGCCCATTCCCACTGAGCAGTTTCCAGTACTGATAGTACTGGAAATCAAGTACTGATAGTACTTAATTTAAAACTGCAGTTGAGGCCAACATTACTGTGGCTAAGTGTGACATTTGCTAAGTGAATTTTGCTCCATTTCTTGCCACAGTTGTTAAGTGTATCAGTTGTTAAATTAATAGCATGGTTGTCCCAAGGGTGCTTTTTTCAAGAGGCAACTAGAATATCTTGGTGTTTTTTTCTTTGAAGATATTTCACTTCTCATCCAAGAAGCTTTTTCAGCTCTAACTGGATGGAGGGGAATGGAACAATTTATATTCCTTGCAGGCAGCTGGCCATTTGCATTGTTTTAGAGAGTTGTGGAGGTTTATCTGTGTTCTCAGGATCACCTGGGTGGTGTAAATGTGGGTGAAGCCTTCTTGGAATTGTTGAAAGGACTGTGTTGTAGACTGGAGACAGATGATGTCTGTTGAGGGAGGACTGTTCAGTTTTGACAAAGATGGCCTCTTTGACCCCTCTTTCAAACCAGCGGTCCTCTCTGTCCAACAATGTGGACTTTGCCGCCTTCAAAAGAGTGACCTTTGTCTTTTAAATGCAGACGGACTGCTGAATCTAGTCCTGATGGGTTTGTTCTGCTATGTTGTGCCATGCACTTATGAAGTGATTGTTTTGTTTCCCCCAATGACCTGGATGACGGAGAATATCCATAGACAGCACGGTTTCTTAAATGCATGGTTCTTAAATGAAACTGGCTTCCTCCATTGACTTTGCTTGTCAGAAGCTCACAAAAGGTGATCACATGACCCCAGGACACTGCAACCGACATAAATACATGCTGGTTGCCAAGCGTCCGAATTTTGATCCTGTTACCATGGGAATGCTACAACACTCGTGTGAAAAGCAGTCATAAGTCATTCTTTTCAATGCTGTTGTAACTTCCAGCGGCCACTAAATAAATGGTTGTAAGTCGAGGATTACCTGTACTCTGCTTCTCCTCACCTCGAAGTAACACCCTCAAGTAGGTAGGATTCAAAGAATAGAACGTCATTTCAGTCTTCGCAATTGTGGCAGGAGATGGTTGTTGGAAGAAATTTCCATCTGGTTCAGTTCCAAGTGGTGAGAAAGACACTGGAAACATGGAGGCTGATTGGAAAGATGGTTTATTTTATTGATGAACAGGAGTTTGGGTTTGAGGTCCTGGGCAGCTGACCACATGGAGTTGAGAGAGAGAGAGGTATTTATACCCTCTCTTGGGCTTTGAACTTGAACTTCCTGTTCCTGTGCAAGAATGTATTGTATTGGTTGCTGTCAGACTCCAATGGGCAAATCGTAGGAGTTTGCCTGAAATAAGTTTGGTTGAACCTTGCTGGGTGGTGCAAAGTCCTTAGACTTTGCAGTGCAGTGAGCCCTGCTGCTAGATAATCCTATAATGTCCTGGAGGGTTATGTCTTAATCCCATCACCCTGGAGCTGAAGGTCTTTTGTCTTGTAGATAGGTTGGCCCAGTCCTTCTCAATAGGCACCAAATATCTGCTGGGGGCAGGGAGCTGTAGCACTGAGTTTCTGTCTTTAGAAACATGTTTCTCCGTGAGGGAAAATATAATAAGCCTTTTTAATATTTCCTAAAATATTTCATTCTTCTAAGAGGGATGGGTGCTAATTTTCCACACGGTGTGTGTGTTGTGGCCCACCGGCAGCTGGCGGAGCTAGCAGGAGAGTCGGACAGTAGTGAGGAGATTGGGGAGGAACCTGGGCCAGTCCTGGAGGCTGAGGAAGGCTCAGATGACAGCTTTGTATCAGAGGCAGAGATGGGGCCAGGGCAGGCTGGTAGTCATCAGCTGCCTTTGGGCTCAGACAACAGTGAGGCAGGGGAGCTTCTGGAACCAGTTCCCAGCCTGCACATGCACAGAGCTGCCAAAAGGAAGGCACAATTAAGAACTCAGGGTTGATGTGGGAGTAAAGTCACAGGTGAACAATGAATGGCCCCTCCCATCAGGATTAAAAGAGAAGCAAAAAGGAAAGGGGGCTTTTGCAGGAAGCAACTTGCTTGTTCATTCATCTGTTCATTCCAGCCTTGTGAAGATTTGTCTGTATAGCCCAGCCCTTCCCTGTCAACACTGAATGTGGAATTTTACCAGGCAGCGTTCCAGGATTGATAAAGGTCTGAGCTAATTAGTATACCTTCGTAAAACTGTTCGCCAAGCCGTTGGCTGACTGTGAATGAAATAAATTCACATCAATGTAATAAAAGAGGTTGGGACTCAGAATTGACTTAGTGCTTTTTGGGGAGGCCTAGGACAGAACAGTATGGCTGTGCAGCCAGCGATGTCAAGTTTGCACTTCTGAAATCTTAGCTGGCCCCAAACAGCTCCCATATTCATTATCTTTGCAGGCTAAAGGAGGAGGCTATGAAAGTGAGGACGCCTATCAGAATGCCGAATTGGTTTTCCTGGACATCCATAATATCCACGTCATGAGAGAATCACTGAGGAAACTGAAAGAGATTATATATCCTAACATAGAAGAGACACACTGGCTGTCGAATTTGGAATCCACTCATTGGTTGGAGCATATCAAGGTCGGTTGATGGGTATTCTGTATCTGTCTATATTCAGCTGCAGAGTCCATTGGGACTGGATGTCCTAGAAAGGCCATAAAATAAATAAAAGGCATTGTGATTGTGTGTCATTGGCATGGATTCATAGCAGCTGTTCCTACTTGCACCAAGACATATTCCTTGTGTGTCTAGTCGCACTTGGCCAATAAAGAATTATGTCCTGTTCTACTCTACTCTACTCTACTCTACTCGTAAAGATTTTCCACCATCCAGGAACAGAGTCTGCATTTCATACTTGTTGGCTGTAGTGATAATTTTCCCGTTGCAACGTTCCCTTCCTTCTTATGAATAGCTGCTAATTAGAGCTCTGAGATATTGGCTCATATCTGTTCTCGGTCCAAACAGAAAAAAGGACACCTGACATGTATTCCAGAAAGAGATCTTATTTTCAAATGAAGCTGGCACTTCTGATGATGTGGTTCTTGTTCACTTTCTCTCACTTTCGCACTGAAGAGGGTTAGTAGTTTGTCTGACTTGTAAAGAAAGAAGAGAATAAGTTTGTTGAGCATGACACTTTCGCCAGAAGAGAGTTGGACTGAGGACAGGAGAGGGCAAAATAGAACTTGTGCAGGACTTTCCAAACTTGGTAACTTTAAGGCTTGTGGGCTTCAACTTCCAGAATCCCAGACAAGGAACAAAGGGAGGAAACAAGGAGAGATTCAACCTAGAAATAAGGAGAAATTTTCTGACAATGAGAACAATCAACCAATGGAACAGACATTGCCTTCAGAATTTGTGGGAGCTTCATCCCTGGAGGCTTTCAAGAAGAGACTGGACAGCCACTTGTCAGAAATGGTATAGATTCTCCTGCTTGAGCAGAGGGTTGGACTAGATGACCTACAAGATCCCTTCCAATTCTGTTATTCTAATTCCCCAGCCCGCATAAACTGTATAAAAGGTTAGAACAATAAATACAGATCTTAACTTTAGAAATTCAGTTGTGTCAATATAGCCAATGAATGACTGAGGATCGGAGCTAAAATGTTTTACAACTGTAGCTTCTGTCAACTTATTCTAGCAAAGGCAATGTGACCTGAGATGATTAGCAGGAAGAGATTTTTATTAATGTTTGCACAGGATCCATCAAGCAAATTCATGCTATTCACTGATTGACATAAGTATTTGCATTACATAAAATGCAGGGACTTAAAAAGCTGTAAGTGAAAAGTTACAGATGAATTGATTTATCTTTGTCCTTTGTTTTCCACATGACTCATTTCTTTGTCCTTTGCATCTACGTGACTGGGTCTACTTTCTAATAGAACTGATTTATGTTTCTCTACAAGAAAACAGTTGGGACAATCTCTTAAAATTGGGAGGGATAGTGCCCTCAGATTACACTGTCTTTGCTAGAACAGGTGACGGAAACTACAGTTGTAAAACATTTTAGCTTCAGTCCTTTGTCGTTCATTGGCTACGTTCACACACAATGATTGAACAAGGTCGCTTAGATTTGGCAATGGATGTTCATAATTTGCAAATATTGGTTTTAACATTATTGGTTCGCTTTTTTTAAAAAAAGGTGGGTATATTGCGCTGACTCACTCTGTTTGGTACTTCAACATGGTATGCAAAGCCAAAACATAGTTTGATACCATAACTAGATTAAATGTGTGATGTAAAGCCATTAACTTATGTAATTGAACGTAGCTATGGTTTTGTTGGGACTATTCCAAGGATACCTAATAATGGATGGATTCTTCTATTCAGTTCCAATGGCATTGTGATGGCCCAGGCGTGGCACAAAAGCAACAGAGCCAAATAACTGGTCTAACTCCTCTTTATTGCTCCAACTTTGCCCCCAGATGTCCCCACTTTTACTACAAGTCCTGGAGCAAAGCTCTCACATGCATCTTCAGCTGCCTCTGGCTGTGAGTAGTCCAGTAAGTGGGGTTAGCCAAACAGTAACCAGGGCCAGCAGTCTAATAAGCCAGGTTAGCCAAACAGTAACCAGCGCAATAATTTCAGTGAAGCAGGCAAACCAGGCAAACCCCACAAGACAGAGTACAGTAATCTTTAGGCATCAGCAAGCGCACATGAGGCTCCACAGATTCCATGCTCGTTCCTGACAAATGCCCCTCTCACCTGCACCTCCTTACATCTCAGGCCCCAGGTGTGCCTTGTAAAGGGGGGCAGGACACTCTCCTCCCTCGTAGCCAGTTCAGTCTGTGTTGTTCTTGCCTTCTCTCTTCTCTCCGTGCTCTTGGATCAGGAGGGGGTGGTCCATGCTTTTTGCCTGAGCTCTGCCTCTCCTGCTCCTCCCTGTCAGCAAGCCTTTCGAATACTGAAAAGCCCTGCCTGGACTGACTCTGCCCTTCCCCAGTTTCCTCCAAGGCCAACGGAGCTGCCCTCTCAATCTCTGTCGGCTCTTGTTCCAGCTCATCTTCCCCCACAGATTCAGACTCCAACGGGGGCATGACAGGCATAAACTAGAAATTGCGAACGGCCTTGGATTATAGCAAATACCATCCAAAATATATAAGTGGCAAAAAAAATGCCTTTCCTGATTTATTTTATGATTAAGCATGAGTACAGTGTGTTGTGTGTTAAAATCATAGGTAATCAATCGTAGGTAAGCCTTAATAAATAAATTTGTATATATATTCTATGGAATATAACAGAACTTCGAGAATAAAAGATGGTTACCTTCTTATGGAATACATGCATCAACATGAAGGTATGGAAAAACATATTAAAATATATTAAAAAAACATATTAAAATATTAAAATAAAATCCCTTGCTGATCTTTCTATACTGCTCCCAACATGCAGACATATTAACTTGGGCCTTTTTAAGGTGAGGGTGAATGGATGGAGTCCGATTGCCCTCAAGACTGCTTCTATTGGGGATAAAAAGCACAATCGCATAATGCCTTCTTTTTTTTTAACCCAGCTGATTCTCGCTGGAGCTCTTCGGATTGCTGACAAGGTGGAATCAGGGAAGACTTCTGTAATTGTACATTGTAGTGACGGTTGGGACCGTACCGCTCAGCTCACCTCTCTGGCTATGCTCATGTTAGACGGCTATTACAGGACAATACGAGGCTTCCAGGTGTTGATAGAGAAAGAATGGTTGAGTTTCGGGCACAGATTCCAACTGGTGAGTGTGATTATGGTATTTTCTTGGTAGAACATCAATGAATTTTGAAACACAGTTCTTTAACAGCAGAAAGAGAGGAAACCATTTTCCTTGTTTTCCTCTTAAATCGTTTCCAGGAAAGCCACGGTGAGAGTTTTTTGGTGCACTGGTTCACAGTTAGAATTTTGTTGAATTCTTGTGCTGAACATTTATACATAGGCCCAGAGGTGGTATTCAGCAGGTTCTCACCAGTTCTGGAGAACCAGTAGTGAAAATTGTGAGTAGTTTGGAGAACCAGCAAATACCATCTCTGACTGGCCCCGCCCCCCATCTATTCTCCGCCTCCCGAGTCCCAGCTGATCGGCTGGTTCTTCTTTTGTTGCCCTGCACAGGAGAATGGAGCTGGAAAGGAGGTTAGTGGGCTGGCCACACCAAGCCATGCTCACAGAACCAGTAATAAAATTTTTTGAATCCCACCACTGCATAGGCCATCTTCTCTGTTGAGAATGCAGTATTTGTTTTCTTTATCTATTTCTTTGCATTTGGCCCATTACCTGATCTTGTATACAAACATACAAGTAGAATTCTGCATCTCAAAATGCCGATCCTTGATTTAAGATTGTGAATAGGCATTTAGAAACTGACTTGAGGTTTGCTGATCGTCACTCAGACATAAATGCAAGAGATTAGAAAAATTCCACAGCTTACTGTGGAAGAATAGAGTGCAATAGTTTTGGTGAGTCGATGCCAAAGTCTTTGACAACTATTGAAAACCAAAAAATGATTTTTTTTTCTTCAATCTAAACTCTCACAGACTTCCATAGCTGGAAAAAGTGAAGAAGAGGACAATCAAAATAAACAAGGGCCTTGAATGCTTTTCTTATAAATATTTTCAATGTGTGGAGGGTGAAGGATGTGTGTTTGTGTTTATTTTCACGGTTATGGTCATGATGTGCACGGAAGATGGTGTTTGATTTGGTTGTACGAGGTGCAATGACAATAAAGTAAAACTTATAAGGAAAAGCTAGGATGTGTGTAACTGTAAGATAGGAAAAAGACGAAAGATGTCGGGAAATTATACATAGCACGGAGAAAAAAGAACAGCATGGAGTTTTCTCATCAGGCAAAACTTTTAGACAGTATCCAGTGGAACCAAATAGAAGATTTAAAGCGTTTTTTCAAACAGTATGTAATTTGCATGTAGAATTCATTCATTTTTGGTGTGATTATTTCTAGGTGTAATTGATAACAGGGATGATTCTAAAAGTAAATTGGATAAATTGGTGGGGATGAGTCTATCAAGAGCTATCTTGATAGGGTCAACATCAACACTCAATGTGGAAGATTCTTGTTACTTGAAGATGGGGGTCGGCACGCTTAAAATACCAATTTTGGATAAATAACATGGAAGAGAATGATGTGTTTTCTCCTTTAGGAGAACTTTAGGAGGCTCTAGTTGCTGGATTCAGATGGAATTTGCCTAATTAAAGATACAGAGTGTCCTTAACTTCATGTTATTGGATGAGGATGCAGGGTGAAAATGTTTACACTCGTAAGAAATCCTCAGTGAACTTTAAATGAGCAGGGTGGAGAGAGAGAGAGAGAAATAAAAAAAATTGCTCTTTAATTGTTCTTCAGGCTGCAAATCAGGAATTGGGGCTCCACCTGCAGGCCTGTTAAGTTGCTTGCTTTGGTTCTCTATGAAGTGGGTAATTAATTGTCGTAGGTTGGTGTCACTATGTCTGTGTGTTTTGCCTTCTCCCTTTTTCTTGTTTACTTTCAGAGGGTTGGCCATGGGGACAAAAACCACGCAGATGCTGACCGATCTCCTGTTTTCCTACAATTTGTGGACTGTGTCTGGCAAATGACAAGACAGGTATATTTTGTGGACTGCAAAGAACCCCAGAAATAATATTCCTCCCTTTTTGTTGTCGAGCCAATATGAAGTCGATGTGTCACGCATTATTTGTAGCAAGGGCCAATAGGTTCAGTTCTCTAAAAAAAATACCTCCGTAGGCAATAAGCCTTGATAAACTCAGTGGGTCTCTGAGTCCTGAACATATTCTCCATTTGTATAGATGGTCCTCAACTTTACGATCACTGTTGAACCCAAAATTTATATTGCTAAGTAAGACATTTGTTAAGTGAGTTTTGGACCAGTTAAAAAAAAAATTCTTGCCACCTTTGTTAAGTGAGTCACTGCAGTTCTTAAACTGGTAAAAGGGATTGTTAAGTGAATCTGGTTTTCCCGATTGACTTCGCTTATCAGAAGGTCACAAAAGTGAATCCCATGACTCCGGGACACCACAACCGTCATAAATATGAACCAGCTGTCAAGCATCCGAATGTAAATCACGTGACCATGGAGATGCTGCAAAGGTCATTAAGTGTGAAAAATGGTCATAAGTCACTTCTTTCAATGTCATTGTAACTTCAAACGGTCACTAAATGAACTGTTGTAAGTGAAGGTCTACCTATATCCGTGGTGGCGAACCGATGGCAGAGCCATTTGTGTGGACACACAAGCCTCAGTCAAACTTACCCGCACTGCACATGCACGCGCCTCCCAGCTGATTTTTGGCCCATTTGAGGCCGTTTTCGCCCTCCTGGAGGCTCGAGAGAAACCACTGCAGCCTCGGGAGGCTGAAAAAACAGGCCTGTTTCAGCACTTCCGGTATTTCCAAAATGGACACATTTATTTTGCCTCCCGAGGCGACAAAGGCTTTTGTCGAGCCTCTGGGAGGGTGAAAACGGCCTCAAACGGGCCAAAAAATCAGCTGGCAGGAAAATTGTTCTTTCAAAGATCATGTGGGAAATACCCAGTGTAAACCTACTGCAATGTTTTTCCTTTCCTCCCTCCAAGTTTCCCACAGCTTTTGAATTCAACGAGTTCTTCCTGATCACCATCCTTGACCATCTCTACAGCTGTCTCTTTGGGACCTTCCTGTGGAACAGTGAGCAGCAGAGAGTGAAAGAGGTGACCAACCATAACAGTTCTTTTTTTAAAAAATAATTTTCCTTACTCATTTATATATATACTTTTTTTAAACATTTTTTTTTAAATTAAGTTATAAAGTATTATAAGATATAAAATAAATAAAAGAGCAGTGAGGAGGAAGAGGAAAGGCATCCGGTTTTGTTCACCACATTATAAAAAAGATGTTGAGACTCTAGAAAAAGTACAGAGAAGAGCAACCAAGGATGATTAGGGGACTGGAAGCTAAAACATATGAAGAACCATTAGAGGAACTGGGCATGGCTAGTCTAGGGAAGAGAAGTACCAGGGGAGAAATGATAGCGATCTTCCAATATTTGAGGGGCTGCCACAGAGAGGAAAGGATCAATCTATTTTCTAAAGCACCCGAAGGCCAGACAAGGAATAATGGATGGAAACTGAACAAGGAGAAATGTAACCTGGAAATAAGGAGAAACTTTCTGACAGTGACAACAATCAACCAATGGAACAGCTTGCCCTCAGAAGTTGTGGGAGCACCATCACTGGAGACTTTCAAGAAGAGATTGGACTGCCATATGTCAGAAATGGTGTAGGGTCTCCCGCTTGGGCAGGGGGTTGGACTAGATGACCTATAAGGTCCCTTCCAACTCTGATTATCTATTATCTGTTATCTGAAAGAGAAGTGAGGAAAGGTAGGAAAAGAAAATTAAAAGCATTGACTTCCGACTCTTTCTGTTGCAGTAGAATAAGGCATTTGCATCAAATCACAGCGTTTTGTTTTTCCATAATATCAACAAGTCATTTCTGTAAAGATCTATCCATCTAATGTTGTAAAACCCAAAGTCAAAGTTCAATTCTTTTCCAAATCAAGCATGAAGTTCAGAAGCGGCTTCCATGTGGAAACAAAAGTACTTGTGCTCTTTTCTTTCATCAGAGTAGTCAGTTTTGCCATTTCCACCAACTCTGTCAACTTCTGCATCCATTCTTCCATGGTAGGTATCGAAGTGTCTTTCCATTTTTGCCCATACAATAGTCTTGCTGCTGTCCACATGTATAGTAACGAAGTTCCAATTTTTTTCTCCAGTTCTTTTTCCATTAGTCCCAAAAGGAAAAATTCTGGTTTCATTTCTACCTCCATTTTCAGAATTTTTGGTATTAGGATAAGAATCATACTCCACATTTATATATTTTTTTTTTGCTTTATCACATGTCCCATCATAGATGATAAAAAAAATCTCTATTTTTACACTTCCAACATCCATTTGACATGCCTTTATAGATAGCTTATCTGGTGTTAAGTACCAATACATCATCTTATAAAAGTTTCCTTTTAAATAAATTTTAAACCTTTCGTCCACGTCGTTTATATATACTTTTTGAAATGGAACAACATCCTTGTTCCTTACAGGGCCTTTCAGAAAAGACAGTATCACTCTGGTCCTACATCAACAGTCAGCTTGAAGACTTCAGCAACCCTCTGTATGCGAGTTACACCAATCATGTGTTGTATCCCGTGGCCAGCATGCGTCACCTAGAGCTTTGGATAGGATACTACATCCGGTGGAATCCTCGAATGAAACCACAGGTAAACCACAGATTCATGGAGATGAGAAAGGAGCCTTGGATCAAAATCAGATGTTTCTTGAGATTGCAATTACAGTTATGGACTGAGAATCTCCATAGACGTTCTGTCTCGAGAGTGAGCAAGATGTCATGCCTCTGTCGGATTCTGAATCCGAGGAGGAAGATGAACAGCTGACAGGGAGTGGGAGTGTGGTTCCGTTGGCTATGGAGGAAACTGGGAAAGAGCAAAGTCTGGCTGAGTAGAGCAGGGGAGAGGTAGAACAAGGGAGAGGGAGTTCAGAGGAAGTCCCAGACCAGACCCACCCCCTCTTCATTCTAGGGCACGAAGGGAAGAACGGAGAAGGGAGCAACTTGGGTTGCGTTGCTTATGGGGGAGGAAAGGGCCCTGAGTCCCTTCATTAGGCACACTTGGAAAGAGAGTTTAAAAGAGATGCAAGCTGAGTGTAGTGTCTGCTGGGAACAAATGTGAGTTTATCTTGTGTTGACTTTGGTTATCTGTGTTCCTAACCCAACCGTGTTGAATTACTGCCATTTCTTCATGTCTGGAATTCCTTCTCTTACCCTGCCGGACTAATTACCTCATCTTGCCCTGATTGGATTTATAGTTAAAGTTTTTGTTGACGTTTTGGACTTGAATCTCTATAGCCAAAGGCTGTTCCTGGGAGAGTTTTTCTCCAGCCCAGAAGGTAACCAGGACATTGGGGGCAAAGTTGGAGCTAATGAAAGAGCTCCTACTGATTATCTGACTGTGTTGCCTTTGTGCCATGCCCTGGTCATCACACAAGGTTTTTTTTTTTTAATTGTTTTGCCATTAGGAACCGGTCCACAATCGCTACAAAGAACTCCTCGCAAAACGAGCAGAACTTCAGAAAAAAGTAGAAGAGCTCCAGCGAGAAATCACCAACCGCTCCACTTCCTCCTCCGAGAGGGCCAGTTCCCCTGCACAGTGTGTTACGCCAGTCCAAACAATTGTATGACATCACGTGCCCCCATCTTCCAAAACCTGACGCTCTTCCTCAACACCTTCACGCATCCCCTGGCTGGCCTTGAGGGCAGCTGTAACCCAACACAGTGGGAAAGCAACAGATTGACGAAAAACTGGAGCAGGACTCTTGGGTGGTGGCGCCTTTTTCTAAGCTGTCTTGTGTCTAGACATTGTATTTATTATGGTCTACTTCTCCAGGGTATTTTATTACAGCTGTAACACAATAAGGTGGAATCTTTTTTTTTTTTTAAAGATCTCTTATATAATTAATTTTCTTGAGAGCTAATTAAGAAGAAACTAGCTGCATGGCATCTCAAGACCCAACTATAGGACCTTTACTAGTGAGTTAGCATTGATTTTTGCCATGGAGTGATGCACTTATACAGGGTCATACTTATTTCAAACCTCAGCCACCTGAATCCAGAGAGCCCGATAGGGACTTCTGATGTACACAGTGGGCTTTGCAGATTTTACGCTGCCCACTTACGAACGGCTCCATAAAACACAAAAGAGTTTGCGAGGGGAATGCAAGTCACCGTAATGAGTTGCATGCTAGGAAAGAAGGATATTCATTGCAATCGTGCATATGAAAATTATGCATTCTTGGCTTTTCTGACGCTTATCAGTGATAGGACTATTTTGTGGTGCCCCATTCTTACAGAAACATGACCTCCAAAGGGTGGGGGAGCAAGAACCCAAAATTTCTGAGGCAAATTACTTCACACAGGGAACAGCTCCACATAATCTTTCTAGTGGCGTTCATGTAAAGAGGAAAACCTTGAAGCCCTCCAGATGTGAGAACTCCTGAAAATCTCAGTAGATTCAGTAGCTGCAGGATGTTCAGTTGAGGTAAGGCCATTGCTGAAGATGCTGGAGATTGAAGTCATACATTTAGCCAACACCTACGTTGGGGAAAGGTAACTTAGAAGTATCTATGGGAGTAGGCCAAATGTCATCATTTAATGACCCCATAATCCCTTGCGGAGTGGAGTCGGGACAAGTGAATGGAGCTGAATGTTTACTGGCTGGATGCCCTTCCTGTCACCAATGCGGAGTTTGCAGCAGGGTGAGAATGTGTGTGCCGAGAGAGAAATATCAGCCTCTACCTAGGTTTGAACTCACAGCCTCCTGATTGTGAGGTGAGAGCTCCATCTCTAGGCCACCACACCACTCATATGGGAGGAGGCCAGATGTATCCATCTATTCTATCTCCGGTTGCTGTGATTTGTGGATCAGACAGTTAAACCATACATCATGGTAAACAAATCAAATGAGAATCCTCTTCATGCAGTGCTGCCAAAAAGGACCCAAATATAAATGATATTGTTTGATCACTGTTGATTGGGCGACTTAGGTTTGTAAATCATGATATATGATTTAGGATCCAATCTGGGTCGGTCAACCAAGACCAGAGGTTTAGTCTTCCAGCTTTTAAGATTTCTGCTGGAGTCTATCTTGCAGAGAACTCCTCCCTACCACAATATCCGTGTTCTAGTAGAAATTCTACACATTGTGGTAGAGGGAAGTTCCCTGAGGATAGGTCCCAATATGAGTTTGAAAGCCTGGAAGACTAACCCTTTGGTCTCGGTGACTTTGACCCAGATTGGATCCTGCAACGTTATCCTGGGGAACTTATATATAAGTGCTTGACTTACAACAGAAGAAGAGACTGGATAGTCACTTTCCTGAAATAGTGTGGGGTCTCCTACTTGAGCAGGGGGCTGGACTAGAAGACCTCCAAGGTCCCTTCCAGCTCTATTCCGATTCAAAGCCAGCAAATGATGACATGAATCCAGGACATTGCAACTGTTGTAAATGCATGGCTGGTTTCCAAGTGCCCCAATTCCAATCACGTTGACTGGGGGGATGCTGCAACATTCATAAATGTGAAGACTGGGTTGACTTTTCTCAGTGCTGTTGCAGCTTTGAATGGTCATTAAACAAATGTAAGTCAAGGACTACGTATATTAAGCTAATTTTTGGAGAGGATGGAGACAGCAGCCTTCCCTAGATATGGTGAAATACAATGCCCAGAATTCTCAAGCAGGATGCTCAAAGGGAAGGCTGAGAATTATAATCCTAATCCATATGGTGGGAGCCACGGAAGGCGAAGCTAATTTATACTTCCTACACCATCCTTGCCTCTGACTTCCCTTCAAGTTGTATTCCTACAATCTAACTTTGAATGTTTTTTGGGGGAAAGGGGGGGTGGAGAGATTAGCTAAGATCAAGGATGGCATCTGTACTGCAACTCCCAACAGTCTCATCCAGCATTGCCGACAGCCAGGATTGAATAGGTCTGTAGCCCGAGCATCTTGTATGTTTTCCAGTTACTTTGTAAAGCTTTTTGTATATTAAACTGGACTTTTAACAGCAGCTCCTTTGAGATGCTGGAGCTAGCAGGCAATTACAAGGATGTCCCAAACTTACAAAGTACAATATAACTTGCCTCCTTTTTGTCAAAGTACATAGTTCTTTTGTGTGTGTGTGTGAGAGAGAGACAGGACTGAGCTGTGTCTGGTGGACACAGAATTCAATGGGACAATAACATCAGACTGTGGATCGTTAGGCTTCAGAGGGGCTGCACTGCTTCTATAAGGACAAATATATCCAATATTCCAAAAAATTCAATCAGAATCCTCACAGGGGTATAGTCGATGACATATAATCTATTCCAGCATTTCCACTAAGGTAGAGGCAAGCCTTCTCTACAATCCTTAACTGTGTTAATTTGGGGATAGCTTTCTCCTTTATTTGTCTTAAACATGATTATTTGTCATGCATTGCCTTGAGGAGAGAGATGCTATGAACCAAAGATTAAAATGCCATTTTCTTGTTTGATAGCATACTGTATTTCACTCTCCGCTCCCCCCACCAAAGATAGGGGAAGGGTGGAAGAGACTGTCCCTTAACAAGATTTGACAAATGTGTTCTAATGCCATTTTAAACCGTTTATCCTATATTGCATAAAAATAAACCTCTATATGAACAAGCAAATACAGTACACAAAACATTTCTGAAGAGGAATACCAAATTATTCCTGACAAGTTACAGATAGAAGTTGCACTTCTGGCTGACATTGAGAACATCTGTTTCTTAAGAACTTGCAGCCCATACATAAAAGGAGTTACAGAGCAGTTAGATAAATGAGACAGACCTAGTAATGTCCAGTTTATTAATAGCTCACGGCATTTTTCAGCAGATCGATTTAAAACAAAAACATAACTTCAGATTCATAGTCTTGCGAAATAGTTTATCATACTAGGCCAACAGGCTTGCTTTGCCATTGAGAATGTATGGCAATGCTTCAGCCTCTTATTCAAAGTATGCCAAGGGGAGAGAAGTCAGCTAGCAAAAAAAGGCTTCTCCAATTTCAGGTGCTCTAAAACCAACAATTCTCACATTAGGATGACCGATGGGGGGGATGGGATTTGTTGTCCAAGACATCTAAAGCAGGAAAATTGCACGTGGCACATCCTTATGACCACTGTGTACCTCACTCATGGATTAGAGGCAGAGCAATCATTTTTCTGATCTTATTTGTGTATTTGGAATAGCTTTAAAAGTTTATTAATGCGAGTACTCTGCTCTCACATGAATTATCTCCCTGACATAGAAGCGCTCCCTCTCCAAGCTGCTTATGAGCCACAGTGGTGCAGTGGTTAGAGTGCAGTACTGCAGGCTACTTCTGCTGATTGCCGGCTGACAGCAATTTGGCAGTTTGAATCTCACCTGGCTCAAGGTTGACTCAGCCTTCCATCCTTCCGAGGTGGGTCAAATGAGGACCCAGACTGTTGGGGGCAATAGGCTGATTCTGTAAAACTGCGTAGAGAGGGCTGCAAAGCACTGTGAAGCAGTGTATTAAGTCTAAGTGCTATCACTAATGCTATTTTCTTCTCACTACTATTTTCTTGCATGGAAGCCCAAAGAAGCAGTGTTGCTGTTCCTTCCAATCTGCTTGTTCGAAAGAAGCAAAGCGATTCAATCTTAACACTGCTTTCAACATAGAATAACAAGAGTTGGAAGGGACCTTGGAGGTCTTCTAGTCCAACCCCCTTCTCAGGCAGGAAACCCTGTGACAAATGGTTATCCAATCTCTTCTTAAAAACTTCCAGTGTTGGAGAATTCACAACTTCTGGAGGCAAGTTGTTCCACTGGTTAATTTTTCTGTCAGGAAATTCCTCCTTAGTTCTGAGTTGCTTCTCTCCTTCATGAGTTTGCACCTATTGCTTCTTGTCCTGCCCTCGGGTGCTTTGGAGAATAGTTTGACTCCCTCTTCTTTATAGCAGCCCCTCTGAGATATTGGAACACTGCTATCATGTCACCCCTAGTTTTTCTTTTCATTAACCTAGACATACACATTCCAGCACCGTTCTTTATGTGTTTTAGCCCTTAAAGCTTTCAAGCATCCCCAGTTCTAACCCTGCCCATTTATACTTCTTTTATTGCAGCCAGAGCAGAGTCAGGATAGCAACCGTCCATCCTCCAGTTTTCAATCTTGACCCATTTTTAACATTTCGCTTCGAGGCCAAGCAAAGGGAGACCTTTCACTGGAGTGAGCAGGCCTGCACTTTCCCTGCTTCAGCAGGAGATGGCAAGAGGCTGCGCCCACCAGCTAGCCTGCCAGGTGTCCATTCTCATTTCAGCCAGCAATGGGCCATCTGTCAGCAAGGCAAAATGTCAACTGATGATGCTACCTGCTTTGTGCATGGATTACACAGATCAGTTCCTGGAGTCCAGCAGTTCATAGAAAGCGGGAGATCAAAGAGCCAACCAGTTTTCACAACTAATTTATTCTATTTGCCTTTATTGCAGTCCAATCAAACCTCAAAAAAGCACAGGCCGTTTTGAGTTAACTACTACAGTCCAATCTTCGGAAAGCCTTTACATTATTAATATAATAAATATTATTGCATGTACATTAAAACTGCCAAGTACCAGAACCATGAGCAGATATTCTAGTCTAGGGAACATTAGTTTTTAAAAAGCTGCCTGCCAGTATTAAACAGCATGATCGAAGGCACCATTTATTTTGGGGGGGAAAAATACACATGTATTATTAACCTGCTTTTCAGCAGAACAGTAGAAATGAGATAAAATTAACTTGGCAATTCAGTTTCACTCTGAAACTGGATCACTTCAGTTCCATGGCTAAAATGGATATAAAATTTGTGTTTTTTTAAAAAAATGGTGTTTAATTAATGCCAATCTTCTCCCTTCTGTGCATAATTTCCGTATTTCAAAACGGGAGCCTCTTGCTCAAACATCGAGACACGAGTGGCCATACAGGGAAGGCCATGCTGAGAAGGAAAAGCAGTTTTTTTTCTTTTTAAAGAAAAAGCTGCTTACGAGACCTTGAAAGAGTCAAAAGTGACATAGGACTTTGTACCATTGCTCCATTCAAAAGGCACCATGTGTTTATAAAGCAAAGTCAAAACTCTGCGCACGCACGCACACAAAACAATAATTCTGATTCTTTTCCCACTTGGCTTTTGATGCTCCAAATGAAATGTTTTTTTTTTAAAAAAAAAACCCACTCGTAGAAGGAAGTCATCCCAAGCAATGAGTACAATGGTCGGAAGCAGAATTGTAGGGCAAGGGTTACGTTTCGTAGCAAAATATCCTATATCAGTGGTGCCAAAGTGAGGCTTTTAGCAATGAAATAATAAAAGGCTGGCCTATCTTTCTCCCTTTCTCCCCATCCCCAGCTCCCCTCCACGATGGCAACACGATCAGGCACACAGGTAGAATAGGAGAAGCCTTTGTTTAGAAGGTGCCATTCCGGTATCATCTTTCATCCAGCTGGTTGGGCCGCAGCCAGAATGATAGAAAGGTGCAAACCCCTCAAAAATCCCCCCACGCGCACGCACAGAGGCGGGGAAGACAAGTCAGCAGTCCCAACTGATGTCATCTTTCTGAAGGGAGGATTGTATACTTTGCATGTCTCTCAG